AAGTCAGGAAAGCTTTCCTATACTTCCTTATTCAAATTGTCAAACCCTTCCCCCCCAAAACAACAACAAAAAAACCCTCATTCACTGTGCTTTTTAATATGTTCCTTGGTTATTCTGAATCCAAAGTAATTTCTGGAGTGAAAATGGGTTCCAAGAGCCAGTTTTACTTCTGGTTCGCCCCTAAGTCCCTAGAGAATAATTTTGCTGATGTAGATTAATTACGAGGTAAAGTGTGTAATTAGCCTTGCATTTGATTTGAATTGGGACATTTAGGGAAGCTAAGGGCTTGTTCTCAGCAAACATACTGACATTCTTCATATAATAATACAGAACAAGCTGTTTTGTCCTTTGTGTTCTCTGTGACCATGGAAGAACAAGTGTAAACTAATGAATAAAAAGTAAATTCATATTTTAGCTGCCCTGCATAGACAACACCTTACAGAAAATAGCTAGATACGACGTTAAAAAGCATTAACATATCCATATAGATGCTCTGAGAGATATATGAGCTTTGCTTAGTGTTTTTTACTCAGAGTATGGGAACCTTTGCTTCTCCTGCAGCGTATCATTATGGCATACAGGTATGCCAACTTGTAATGAAGGCAAGTAATGGGAACCAGAAAACGTGACTGCTGCTAAGTGATGGCCACACTCAGCCTGCCTAACGAGACTGTTCCCTTGTTTTGTGTAGGAATGCACTATTTACACATGGAAGCTCCAGTGAAAGTAATCCACAGGGATCTGAAGTCCAGGAATGGTAAAGTAGCAAAACACTGAAACGCTCTGCATTTACTGTTACCTATTAATGTAGCATTTAAATCTGTCCCTAATCTTTGTGTACATGCAGAACTAACTAATGTCTTGGCTGTCATCAAGCCGTGCTAGGAGTTGTTGAGGCACAGAAGAGTCTGTTACCTCCTCACCATCCTGAGCCTGTCTGACCTTCGTTACAGTTGTTCCTGGCATCATTAAGCCTTGTGGAGGACTCTTTCAAGTTGTGTCTTGCTGACCATGATTGTACCCATTTTATCAGCTGTCAGATGCTGCCTGGACACTCCTCGCTTCCTTTTTCTGTTTGGAAGGGTTGAGTACCAGGAAAGGCTGGCAGACCCCAGACACAACAGACTGGATAAAGGCATATTATTTCTTATTTGAAAATCTTGTCTGTACTGTGGTCCATTGTGAGGTTTGGCAGATATGCATACTTTTGAATAATGCACTCTGTGGAGCTGCAGTGGTTAGTCTGTACTTGGCAGTTGACGACTGGTTTTGCATCTGGTCATAGGCATGCAGGTATTCAGCAGATGTTCTCTAAAGCTTTTCAAAGAAACCAGGATAGTTTTGCATCTGTGCGTGTTCAGGTACTGACTGGCCATAGGATCGTTTTTCTTGATAAAATGCAAAGCCCTTTGCTGTGAAAATGTGTTGTGTTTATTTTTAATAGCATTCTTGTAACCTACTGTTTTTTAATTTTCAGTTGTTATAGCTGCTGATGGCGTGTTAAAGGTATGAACACTTTAATTATTTGTAGAGAGATGCTGCTGCTTGACTCAATGTTTCGATGCCTAATGAAGGAGGTTGATACTCTAATATCTTTTATTTATTTATTTATTTATTCCAGATCTGTGATTTTGGTGCCTCAAGGTTCCACTCCCATACAACACACATGTCATTAGTGGGCACTTTTCCATGGATGGCCCCAGAAGTTATCCAGAGTCTCCCAGTGTCTGAAACATGTGACATATACTCATACGGAGTGGTGAGTGCCTCTTATTTCCCTATGCATAGTAGCAGGTCTCTAGGACAGAATCTGTGTGATGCAAGAACAACAATTCTAAATAAGGACAACGCAAAATACCACACTTTCTTTCAAGACTGACCCACAATTTATAATTATATGCTTGAAAGTGATAGGAAGAACAGTGTCTTGCATGTTTAGTAAGATCCTTATCTGATTAGATTATCAGCATGCCAGTGTGGGAAGGGCATGCTTTACCACAAGCATTCAGCGTATGTCCAAAGGCTTTCAGGAGCCACTGAACAATCTGCATCATGAATCTCTGCTTGTGTTTTTCAGTGGAACAGAGGAGGAAAAGGTTGTGTTGCAATAGGTATATAACAGAATGAACTGATTAGGACTCCACTTTCCATAAAATGGAATATCACTGATTTTATATTAAAGAGCAAGCCACTTCTCGGTGCTTAATTGTTTAAAAGACACCGCTGTCATTAGCTGTGAGAACAGAGACTACCTCTTGTGAAGGTAGACGCCCCATGTAAAAATATAGAAAAGGCCAGCATGGCTTTGCCATTTTTCTGAAGGAGGGACAATCAGTTACAGTTCGTCAGTGCTGGGTTTGCAGGTGCAGTAATGTGAATTATTTCACTCTGCCTGCAGGTAAACTCTAATTTGGTTTTCCTCTGCAATACAAAATAGGCTAGAAATAGCCCTACTAGTCAGACCAATTGTGTGTCTAGCCCGATAGCCTTTCTCTGACAGAGAACGGTAATGAATACTTTGGGAGGAAAAAAGAAAGGAAGTGGGGCTGTAGTTTCCATGCACATCTGTGTATTAACCATTTTTGGTTTTGGATTCAGTGGTGGGTGGCAGAATGAGGAATTCCTTCAGTACCTGTCAAGTATTGCCCCTTTCACTTTGAAGGATGGGAGGAGATAGATGGGAGGAGATAGATGTGAGGGAGGCACTGTGATTTTAAGCTAGCACCTATGGCTATACATGGCTAAGCTGATATCCCAGTGGAAGACAACTTAAACTGTCAAACAGCTGTTTATAGTGAGAAAAATATATGAGAGATGATGTGATGTCACTTACAAATGGAAAGTTGAAGGTTTGTAAGGAGAGAGAAAAAGCCTCTATTGGCAGATTCAAAATCCTTGCTTGCTTGACTGAACTAGGTCACAAACAGTAATAGAACATAAGCTAACAAATGTAAATGTTAATGTAAACTGTTACTGGAAGCAATCACACATTATCCACTGAAGGAAAACATTCCCATTTCGAAACAAAGCAAAAACGTTAGAGGAGAAATTCCAAACATGGTCTTATAGCTCAAACTGCTCACATAGTCATCTTGGTGTGAATTGACTTTAAGTAACATCCTAGTAGTGGGAGAAGGTAAGAAATTTTTTAATATCATGTCAGGTATTACCAGAGCCTTGGGAACAGTATGTTGCACAGAGTTTATTTTTCCTCTTCCAAAAGCTCATCCAAAACTCTTTTCACAGTTCTGTGCTTGGAGGTAAAACTCAACTGCCCTCTGTATGGAAATGGTTCAGTGTTACTGGGATATTCTAATGTGGCTACGGGTGTATAGTGCTGCTTTAATATGCCTAATAATATTGGACTCGCATCTTTTCATATATTGTTTTTGAGCTAATATGTTCTACTAAGTTCATAAGCACTTAGGAATGAATTCATCTTTTTATAACTCCAGTCTTGGAACACCATCGTTTTCAGAGGAGATACAGGGGTAGAAATGAAGAATGGCAGTGGCCCAAGTTCTCTGTTGATGAAATTACTGACATAATGGGGTTATACCAGCTAGAAATTGTCCAAATATAACATTGAAAGTTGGAATCTCCCTCTAAGTATTACACTACCAGAGAATTAGCTAGGAGACTGAAATTAGAAAGGGTATTTTTCTCTATTCAAATGATTATCATCTATAAAAACAAAATTTAAAGAATCTCTTTTCAAAGTTTAACGCTTGCCAGCAGCTTTTGTGCTAGAGAGACAAATCTGCTTTTCTGCAGTTAAAGTCCTCTTAACAAAGAACAGAATCCTTTCAAATGTAAACTAGTAAGATGCGAGGAATAGATGCTCTGTTTGCAATATTTGTCGCCTTCCCCATGGTTTTCTTTAATTTCTTTTCTACTATTATTTTTTTTCCTGACTGGCTTTTCTTTCTATTAACCAGTCTGTGATTTTAAATATTCTGCTTAAAGTGTGTGAGAGGTGTTTCCTTGAGGTGTCAGTCTTTCTGCAACCTTGTAAGTCTGAGTTGCTCCTCAGCTGAAATGAGTTTCCTGTTTGTGAACAGTTGCATACGTGTTTATAGCTAACATTCAGATTAGTTTGTCCTGCTTTTAATGGATGGTTAAAGAGGTAGATATATTCTCTTTGGGATATGTAGTAAATAATTTAAAATACTGCCATGAAGTCCTAAAGCTAAATGTTCCAGGAGATTTGTTACAACACAAAGACAGATCTTGCACTTTTCTTCAGCCATGCTGTGATTGTTTTCTAATCCATTTCCAAACCCATACTCTATAAACAACAGATACTAAGTGTTAAAAGTGACCAGCCTAGAAATTCACTCACATCAGTAGCACTCTCTCATGTCATTATGTGTGTTGCTCAAAATGATTCCTTGCTTCTCTTCCAGATATGAAAGTGTATGTGGAATGACAATGTTCACTCTAAAAGCTGTTTTGAAATCATGAAGATACATGCTCAGAATATGTTATCCTGGCAAAATTGTTTGTAGTGCACTGCAGTGTGTGTTTGTGTATCAGCATAAATGTGTTTAATCATAGAAAGTTTATGCAGTGTAGCTGAATGGTTTTAACACTTACAAGAACAAAAAGTCAAACCATTAATTGGCTATTGGTAGCATAGAGACTGCTGTTAAATGTAGCAGCTGTTTTGCTCCTAGCAATAGTTTGTACATTGCTTTAGCTATGAGAACATGGGTTATTTATAGAGGGAATGTTGGCCAGCTCCAGGGGTTATCCCTTACTCTTTTTGAAAAGAATTATGAGACCTTTAACTTCCACTTGGATCAATGCAGAGAAGACTGACCTAATTTTCATGCCTAAGAGCACCACCTCTAAGAGTGCAACACTTTCTGCTCATGCTGTTCTTCTGCTAATTGTGTCTCCTGACCCTTATGTGTAAACACTTTCCTACCAAGAGAAAATACTTCTTTTTTTTCAGTGAAGATGTTCAGAGTATTTGCTTTTTCTCTTATTACTCATTTGGACGTTCCTTATCCTATATGGCACTTTGAATCTTGATTGGCTTTGCACTGAGGTGGGGATGTGTGGGTTTTGTTGTTTTGATTTGTTTTGTTTTTTCCTTTTGGTTGTTGTCACATAGTTGAGAGGATAAGAATCAAGATGCGCAGCTGAGCTGACCAGAAGTGTGTGAGCTTTTTCTGAAGACCATGTTAATTCTTAATCTCAGCTTCATGTATAGGATGAACATTCATACATTTGTGTCCTTTCTGTTTCTCTGTATGCAAAGAAGATCCCAGCATCTTCAGAGGCCACAGCTTACAAAACACTACATTAAATGATGTTGCTTTGTTTTCCATCATTGTGTCTAGCTTGGCTGTTTCTCTGTGAGCACCTGCTGTCTGTCATCACAGAGATGCGATGTGATCAGGAAAGCAGGTGATCCTTACCATTAGAGATGGGAGGGGAAGTGAACCGTGTCAGTCTCAATTAAATTGCACCAGAAATGGAAGATAGATTGATTTTCATATGAGGTGAGCTGGGGAGCCAGTTCTGAAAATGAACAGAGTGTATCCCGCGATAAAGACGCTGGGTTAAGTCAGCTTGAGGTGCTTTTTCTGTGGCCGAATGACTCTGGGGATAGGAAGAAACAAACAGGAATGCAGAAGCTACCCATTTTCTGCTTTTTAAAAGACTGATAATGCAATCATTCACATTAGCTGATGATTCAGGGTAGCTAATTCATGAGATGGGGTTGACACTGCTATAAAATTGAAGATGTCACTGACGCATGTCACCATTGGAAGGAAAGGCTTTATCTACACCATTGGCCTGACTATGAAATTTGCATTGTTGTTAGAACATTTTCTGAACCTGTGCAAATCAATAGAAGATCACAAGGATTTATGACATCTCACTTCTGTATCTTTTACTTTCTTCTACTATTAGTGAAAAATAAGGCATTAAGAAAAATTCCTCATATTGTGTCAGATTGCTGTTTTTCTTTTGAACTATGTGCAATCTTGAAGTGTTTTAAGCTAGCACAGTTGGTTTAGGAGGGCAGTGATCCATACAGGCAGTGGAATTAAACGCTAAAGGTGTCATGATAAAGGAATTCAGTGCAAAATGTTGTGCACAAACTTAACTGCATGAATGAAACAAGACAACTCTTACAATTTACAGTCTTCTGAAAGAAAGATAGCAGGGCAGTAGAGTTTTCCAGCTCAAAGCTCTTGGAGACGTTTAATGTGTATTTCATTGTGTTCTTTGCTTGGAAGATGTATTTAGATACTGCTCTATCTGATGTGCAAACTTGAGTTTCTTCTCTCTGGTTTCCTGGTACAGCGGTACAGATGAGGTGGTTCTGCAAGGCTGCTCACCTGCATGTTTGATTTGATCCAGGGGCTTTTGTTTTACCTGGCTGTTTTGTACACTGCTTTTTGAAGTACATGGGACTGCTAAATTATTTCCTTCTCTCACAGTTAAATTTCTTTCTCTACCAGTAGAGAGGTGATAATTGGAATTACAAATAGAAGTGCTTTTTTTTTTTCCTTCTAAAAGGAATGAATTGAGGCAAACAGGAGAGTTGAATACCTCTATGGTAGCTTTCCCCATAAATTTCTTATTCTCAGGGAAACGGTCCTTTTACTTATTTTTCTGAGATGCCCTTACCTTTACTAACCAGTCTCTGACTCACACAGAATTATTCAAATAGGTCTATTGATGGAGTACCCTGTTCACTTGATTAAAGGCCCAACTCTGCTTCAGTGCATTTTTTCTGCTTGAGCAGCATCTGCCAATATTCTCACATTTTCTTTCTAATTACCTTTAGAGCTGGCCAGAATCCATTCAAAATGATGTAGCTAGAATAAGCCTAGGTACTAACCCAAATAGTGAGAATACAGAGATTTGCATAAGGCTCTTAATGCATTTGGTCAGATCCTACATAAATGATGTCTTTTTTGTTGATATGTTTGGTATATGAGCAGAAGAAAAAATTTGTCTGTAGATATTTGCAAAAAGATAAGTATATGAAGGTTCTGAATTAAAAACAGAAAAAAGAAAAAAAGAAAAAAGAGAAATATACAGGTACAAAGGAAGGTACAAAGTGCCTGTTAATTTGGTTGAACTCCAATATGCAGTCCCAATGGCAGAAAAACAAGTTGTATTCATTGACTTGAAGCCTTTTTGGTGATGCCAGACTCTTTTCTACAGAGTAGCTTAGATTCTCGGGTACTGTGTTACCAAAATGCTAAAAGCATGCAAAATTAGGAGAACTTTCTATATCTAAGGACAATGTGTCCATAAAATACTGAGGAGAACAGAGTAATTTTTTATATGCTGCATATTGTTTAGTTTAACATAATCACATACTTGGAGATAAACAGTTACAGTTTTGCTTGCAAAACGATATTTAATGTTTTCATAGGCATAACATAGGTGCAAAATACCTTTTGGACCATATATCTGACTACTGAGAAACACTAGCTGCAATCATATAGAAATATTTTTAAATGCAAAATGACTACAAAGCAAAGATGTGTCTAGTTGGGGCTGAGAAGGAGAGAAGTTCATCGTCTTCCCAAGTCTCAACTGTCAAATGTGAACTTTTTAGAGTACAAAGAAAGTAAAAAGCATTTTCCATGGCTCTTACAAAATTGCAGGCATTAGACCCCGCACAACCCAGTTTTTCATCTGGGCTTTTCTGTAGAGGAAAAAGCAGAAACATTCAAATTAATTTAGCGAGAGGATCTTGCACACAAACACTGGTCCAAGTTCCTGCAAATGGAAACTGGTTGCCTGATAATTGGATACAGAATAGTGCTGTATCAAGGTTTAATAATGTATTTAAAATACAAAGTACAGAAATAAAAATTCTTTTCTTTTTTTCTGTTCCAGGTTCTCTGGGAGATGCTAACAAGGGAGGTCCCCTTTAAAGGCTTGGAAGGATTACAAGTAGCTTGGCTTGTAGTGGAAAAAAACGAGGTAAGACTACGTTTCTACATTCAGGTACATAGATCAGAAAACAGTATTGGGGTTTTGCAAAAGACTTTTTCATCTTCTTCAAATTGAAAGTAAGTTCACGCGTATGGAAAGATTAGCAGTAGGAGCTAACACAAAGGGTCAAAGTGATGTTATTCCTCATGAATGGACCCTTTACATCTAATTGTTGCAGCTTCACGTCGTGATGCTGTAGATCAAAAATTGTACAAGTACTGTACTAGTTTCTCAGTCTCAATTGTAAAACCTAGGGGTTTGTTCTTAGTGATGAAAGAAGCCATTGCGTCCAAGGTAGGGGAACAGTTTAACTCCATCTCCTGCGTTTAGGACATCTTTTTACTGGCCGGGAGTTGATATATCTGTAAGAGACCTTCAGCTACTTCAACTTAACTCTCCCAGCAGGAGTCACTATAGTACAAGAAACTGCCGCTTAGATGAAAATTTCAAAAATAAAAGAAGAAAAAATAGTTTTAAAAAAAGAGAGAAATTACAGTTTTGCCACCTACGTTCAACACTACATTGAAGATGAGCTCCTCACTGGTATCGGCAAGGCTGTGGCATAGCTGCAAGCCTCCTCATGCAGAGTCTTTCCATTTCAAAAGCACTTCAGTGGTGTAAACACCGTTTGTACAGTGTCCCCAGCCTCGCTTTTCTTCTTCTCACAAATTGAGGCTTTCAGTTAGTTGGACATGTGAGCGTATATCTGAACACATAGTCTCTTGATATCAAAGACAGTTACTACATTTAAAAAACATTTAAAGTTGTGACTGTACCACACACAGACAAGCATGGAAATCCTCCACAAAGATGAAACCTCCTCTATCTAGACACAGCGGAAGCTTGGGAAACATTACAATGGCGAGGCAGTGGCTGTACAATACAGATTTCTATTATTCTACATAAACTGTTTCTCAAAATGCTTCAGAGTTAAACAGAGGACTTAGGTTTCCTCCTCTTAGTTTAATATTTTTTCTTGGTGTTTTTTTTTTCCCCTCTCTTTTTTTCTTCTATTTGAGGACTGGATTAACTCCAGTGAGTGATACTGTGATACACCGATTAGTTGGAAATGCCACACTAGCAGTGTGAAGATTAAGACTGTGGTCTTCTACAGCATTTATCAGAGCAGGAGGCACAATGAGACTCTTTCTCCTAGTTTAGGAAAAGCCTCATACATCGGTTTGAAGGAGGAACCATAAAGCCTTTCATCAACAGTATTTCTTTCCTATGTCTACCTGTGCAGTTTTGTGTAAGAGGTACAAAGCAACATTGGGAATGTTGTAAAGAGATGTAGTCGTACACTGAAAGATGTCAGAGAGTACAACACGTTCCTCTACAGCTTTCCAGAGTAAGGAACTATGTTAAATACAGTATGAACAAAATGTGGACATGACAACTATTTTACTCATGGCTGAAGAAACCTAAGGGGTGACATGTTCAAAGCCAGCTGTTTTTTCTGCCAGGTACCACTAGCTTGTTGCTACCATCTTCTTTGGAAGGGTGCCAGAGAGCTTAGAAGGCATTAACACTTGGTTACATAGGTTTTTGTTTTTTCTGGCCATGACTTAGGGAACATGCCCAGTGTAAGCCTTATAAAAGTCAGCTTATGCCAATTTTCTTCATAGTTTCTACGTCCCAAAGCAAGTGTGAGAGTCAGGTTCTGCTCTCAGTTCAATCTGTTGACATCAGTGGGGTTGCATGGTTCCAGTTCACAACAGAACTGAATCACTGTTGAGCCAGTCCTTCATTTTTTGCACTGCAAGTCTCCTGTTAAAATCAGTGTGGGAATGAGGCCAAAGCGTAATTGCGTAGGGTGAAAAATCCCCTTTGCAAAGCCTGAGCCCAGCAAATTAAGTGGATTTTAATGATTCTGCATGGGTCTTTTTCAACTCTCTGCATAATTTCACAGTGCTATTTTTATTCTGGTAGAGTTTCTATATAATTATATATTTTTAAAATCCTCAAAATAAAAACAACAGTTTAGATTATACTAGGCATGATCTCATAATACATTACCACTGAGAAACATCATCATTATTGTAATACGACACTTTCGGAACCTGCTACCTCTATATAACATGACAGATAACATTCTGCACAAGAGAGAGACATACAAATGGTGATTGCAACTGATTTTACACCTCCTGGAACAGTGAGGGTTACAGACAAATACTGTAGCAAGACTAGCCAGTGTATTTTTAGGCTGATGACTCAACCAGAGATCAAGCACCACTACAATTTGTTTATGCATTGTACAAATTTCTGTGTATTTCTTGCACGGAAATCTTTGCACCTTAAGATATTACATTACCTTAGTAATCATACTCCTGCAGTACCCTGGCTCTGTATCTCATGTTTCCAGTTTTCATGGTGTTCAAATGCTTGTGCAGCAGAATTTGTTAACTCTTACTTTGGCTACTGTGGCTTGTAAAACTTCACAGGTCATGTTGCAGTAATATAATGGTACAATTTGACAAAACTTGCTCTGCTTTGCTTGTGAAATGCCAAGAGCAGGACAGATCAAAGGGTCTTCCCGGCAGGTTGGTCGGAACAGGACACCTGTTACAGGAAAGAGAACCTTTTTTCCAGCTTCACCTCTGTTATTATTTGGGCCCATTTTCACTGAAGAACTGTGGGTTTTTACCTACATATTTTTTTAATTTAATATGAAACATCTGAAATCGGTTAACTGCCTTAGCAAGAGCAGAAGGATCTCCTTATCTGTGTAATGTTGTTGGGATACACGTTTCATCTCAACTGGAGAGACTTTAGTACCTGTGTGTGTATATGAGAATGGATTTGCTTTTAGGATTTCCAATGTAGATGCAGAGTCTTTAAACTAAAAGTTGTCTGAGACTGACTGACGGAATCTTTTCATGGTTTAAAACTCCCAGCAAAAGAAACCAAATAAACTTCAAACTAATTCTCTGTAGTCAGTGGTCCTGCCTATAACCAGCAACTCCTAGTCTTCAGTCATCAGGAAATATTTATGAGTTCACTGTGCCCTGTGAGTGCTCTCTGAGATCTGTGTGTCCTCATTAATCCTTCTGACCACAGGCTCTTGAAACGTCTCTTGCGTTATGCAGAGCTTCACTTAACTCTTTTTAACTCACTTAACGTAATTTGTATTTGAGCCATTTGTTGTATCAAAAGTGACTATGGTATTTTACAGCTGGATCATCTGTGTGGGAAAAAAGAATTAAGGCAGCCTGTACCTTATACCTATCTTTACAAGCATCTTAGAATACCATGCAGTAACCTCCACAAACTATTATGCTTTAGTATTAAAAGATGTTTGCCTTGTTTTCACTTCCTTGTCTCTGAGCTTGCTTAAGCAACTCCATTTATGCTTTTGTTCCATTCCTTCTTTATAGGTCTGTTAATTTGTACGTCTTGCTAGTGTTAGTAATTTTGATTTTTCCTTTTGATATGTCAATCCTCAGTTTTTATATTGGATTTAAAAGAAAGAAAAGCGTGTTTTACTTCTTTTAATTGCATTGCTTTTATAGGGAATCTATTAGTAGCAGCTTACAGGGAAATGCTTCCAATAACTGGTACATTCTCTCTGCTTTAGAGATTAACCATTCCAAGCAGTTGTCCCAGAAGTTTTGCAGAACTGATGCACCAATGTTGGGATGCTGATTCAAAGGTAATTTAATTTGTGTTTGATTTCTACACCACCACCCCCTGCCTTGTTTTCCTAAGTGTGTTAGTGTTTCTTTGGGGGACAAGTCCCAGCTGCATGCTAGTAGACACGTTTCTTCACAAAGATAGCTGAAGCTGTCTTTTTTCTATATGTTTACATATTTATACCTAAATGTGTCCCTTTCCCTTCTAGTCAAGAATTATTATGCTACTAAAGACAATGTCTGTAGATAGGGTGAGATGGTAAGAATGTAGCCATTTTGGAGCAAGTGAAAAATTGTTCTTTCCTATTATTCATTCAGTAGTTAATAATTAATATTTCTTGAATGTATGTGAGCATAACATATGAAATATCTATTTCAAGGTCCAACTTCGATGCCTTTCTGTGTTGAAAGCACGTAAAGAATGAGTTAATCTATAAAATGTGGGTAAGAACAGCAGCAACACATTCTAAAGTAACATTAAACCTTTCCTAATCTTTTCCCTTAGGACTTTGAATGATGAGCTTTATAATGATTATACTGTAATAATATAATAATAGAAGTACTGTAATATACCATTTAACCATGAAAACAGAGTAAAAATACAAGTTAAAGCCAAACCGTTGTCACTATTAATCTGCCCCATGAGAACAAACTAAAAGGGAAATTAAAGAAAGTGTTTATTCAGTAAAATGTTTTGTAGATTATGGGAGTTCCCTTCTTTAAGTTGACTCAGCTACCATCCTGGTGTACATAAAACTGGCTGGAAAGAGCCTGTGGGCATGCTCCTTTATTACCAAGTATTAGCATACATTTCCTTTGCCTACGAAGATATTTGAGAGAGAGAAGTAAAGGTAAGGAAAAGAAATTATGCTCTTTTTTGCAAGTCAAGGCACCAGCAAGAGCTTTGTTCCTTTAAACTCAGAAGAAAGCTAGCTACTACTTCAGAGAGACTAAAATTAATCCCAAAGCAGATTACAGTGTTCAGGTGCTCTGAAGCTAGAACTTGTTATCACCAGAGAGTAGCCATAGAAGAGCAATATGAGAAAGGAGATTTCCCTTCTTGGTTTCTTTTTTTTAAGCAAGGAGTTGCTTTCCTACAGAATGGATCTGGAAGCCTGGTGTGTTCCACATGAAGACCCATTTAAATGCTATTCCCCTAGTATCTCCCTCTTTGTCCTCTCCACAGAAGAGAGGGGAGAAAAATGCTTTGACTGTTAAGTTCTAGGTCAGTAATTACAGAAGAGCGCTTTTAGTAGTAATTACGTATCTTTAATAACTACTTTTAAGCATCAGCATCGCTACCAAATACCACAGAATAAGAATTATCAGAGCTTCTTTTCTGTAATTGCAGCACATACTAGACCAGCTTGCTCTCTGGCTTGGTCTAGCCACATATGCGAGTGTCCAGAAGGCTGTTGCTGTTTTTCAAGGAGAGGGAGGGATCTGCATGTTGTAAAAGAAGGATGCCCAACCATCAGGCTGAGTTCTGCTTGCGTGTGCAATTCACCTGGATTTGGGCTGGTTTGTGGGACCGTTGTTCCCAGAGGTGACTCTGATCTGTGCAAAGAGCGAATCTCAGATTAGACAGGTTTCTCTGACAATCTGCTCTTTGCTGCTTTTTTCGTGCAGCTTCTCTTGTGTTAAGCAATTATAAATGCTTTGTTCACATGACTGAAACGGAGTAATCTCTGGTCACAGTTTGGGCATGTGACTGACTTACTCAGTCACGTGTTGGGAAAGGATCGCTACTTACAGCTCTCAAAATGCCTTGATAAAAGGCTGTGTGGCCTGCATGAGCCAAAAGATGGAGCACATTCCTCTAAAATACTGCTCTGTGTTACGTTCCCTTTTCGCCAGGATTAGCTTTAGAAAATCAGATAGTCGATGCGTGAACAAGTTACTGAAGGTCAAGTGGGAGTGAGCTTGAGGATGTCGGCTGCTCAAAAGCAATTGCTAATGTGCATACTTTAGGTCACGGAAAGCATGAGGTATCTTTAGGTGGCTTAACCTTGAGAAAAGAGGGATGTGCGTTTACTGTGGGGCTAAGGAATACACTTGGAGAGCTGCTGCAGAGCAGCTGGAGTGTCAGACTCTGCTCACACCATATCTTCCTCATGGGAATGGACAGAGTTATTAACTTGGCTTTGAATTCTGGAGAATTTCTTCGTATATGGATAAAAATGTCCATAGTGCAGTGCTCCACATGGTATTTGTAATGGTAGTCTTTATAGAGTTTAAACTGTGCTATCTGAAACAAAGTCCCTAGTGAGTTCAAAGCATTTTACTAAGATGTTAATTACTAATTATTTTAAGTTAATAATTAAAGAACAATTATTAAAGAACAATCTCAGTGGTAACTAAGTATCTTAAATAACTACCTCCACATGTTAAAGTCACTGCCAAACAAGCTGCTTTTGCTTGAGTATTAGATAATTGTACAAACAAGGTTGCTCATCACTGATACCTTAGTTTACGGGAGAATACTTGCTTTTGAAACATAGGTGAGTGTTCTTTCTCATTTCTCTGTTCCTTCAGTTTTTCCCTACTTTAACATCAAAGCTGTTTATAAATTACAGAATATTTTAATGGAAATCAGAAACTGGGGAACAGAGAATAAGCAAGAAAGGAAATCCATATGGATTAAATATCCTGGTTTTATGCAGACCTGTTTGGTAAGAAATACTCAGTGGAAGGAAACACTGAAAACATTAGCCAAAATTATTTCTAGAGGGGCATCTATTTTAAAGGTTTTTATATGAGGCATCACAGATATAAAGGGAAACAGTTTTCAAAGGCGACTCATGCCTTGATATTTTAAGAATCTCTTATAAGGCATGACTTGAAATGCCCGATTTTCTAGAAAGTGCTAAGCAGTCATCCACTGAAAATAAGACTTTTTTTAAAAAAAGCTTGCCAGCTTGGGCTCCCAATTTCAACAATCACTTTTTGCCTGTTTTAACCAAGGTATCAGTCTGCACTTAGAGTGCATTTATTAGATCTGAAATTATCCTTGTCTAGGGGGAAGAAACTAGCAAAGTCCACATAGCAGTGTGGGCTTGTGTCTTCCTGTCAGCTTTGCCTCCAGGGAAAGCTGGTACCTTTGAATCTGGCAGCTACAAAGCTGGCAGAGCAGCTGGTGACTGCTCACAGAAGTTGCACAGCCAGAGATGTACAAGCTTTGTCAATGCATTTGTCCCAGCTCTAGTTGTGCAACTCAACAGCTCCTTTGCCTGTAGTGTAGGATGACCCAAGGAGTGTGTGTTGCTGCTCCTCTCAAATCAGTCAGTCAGTGCTTTCACCTGCCCTTAGTAAAAGCCCAGTTCTCTGTCATTTTCTCCGCTCCAGTTACTCCAGGCAGGCCTAATAGTCGTGTTGACTGTGCTCACTTAGTGTCAGCCCTGCCCTATACTTCCCAGCATACCCCCGAAAAAGAAGAAGCAAGCAAAACTCATGGAAGTGTTTTGTAAAAGAATCCTAAATAAGCCATAAAATACTGTAATTAATGCAACATGGGGATCTTTGCCCTTCTTCTCTTCCTGAAAATAGAATTGGTTGAGAACAGGCACATTACGCACCTGCCAGTCGATTGGTCAGTATGTAGCAGCAGCAGTACCTGGGTGTACTGGGGAGAAGCCACAACCTCCTGTCTGGCAGCTTCCTCACCATTGGGGAGGCTCTTGAATCCCTTCAACAGTTCGCACGCACTGGAATGGTTACAAGAGATGCAGCTGTAGCAACAAGAAGGGTGTGAGGGCTGTTGGAAGGTTCTCCTTCCCCAAAACTGCACCGGAGTCATCTGTCCCGATTGCTGCCAGTGATGAGTTTTGTGTCCTGTAACCCCTCGCGTGGCACACCCCCTGACCGGGGAGGTTTGGGTGCTCAGAGGGTCCGCTCAGCCATGGCAGGTCCAGCAGCATCACGCATGTAGGGGGAAGACGGCTTCCTCCCCCAGCTCCCTGCTAAACGCAGCAGGGCTCTGCTGGGTTTCCGCACTGGGACTAGACCAGCAAGTGGAAGCGCTGTGCGGCCGAACAGGCGCCTGCTGCCACGCTGCTCGGGGCGCCCAGGTTGCTGCTCCGTGGGCCAATGGCTGGGGCCAGCGTGCTCTGTTGCAAAGAAAATCTGCATAGCTCATCCAACTACCCGTTGCTGAAATCATGGAGATGGACCAAAAAACGACAGACAAAGCCTCCAGTTAGAGCTGAACAGTGCAGCATTACAGTATAAGAGAGCTCGTCTTTTTTTTTTGTTAGGCATTTGACACTTTTTCATGCTGTTTGACATTTAAAATAAAGAAATTGTCTTTCTTTTATAATGTGGAAATGACTTGGATCTTCCTGGGAGAGACACCTCAGCATTGTTCTTAATTGTTTTTGTGCTCCTAAATTAAAATGCACGTTTTAATTGCGGCATCTGTAATTTTAGCAGAAATGGTATAATTACAGGCACGATAGAGAGAGAATGTGCATCATCCCCTTATTATGTATCTACATTTGGTTTCAACCTTTTGTCTCAACCTTGTCTGGGGTCTGTCAAACAGACTAACAGAGTCAGCGCTCTTTCAAGAAACACATTTAACAGTGGCTTTTTCAGTTTTCAGTTATTATCCTACTTCATAGCTTCCTTTTGGGACTAAGGGGGAAGTAGAAAATACAGAGAAGTTTTAACTGCTCTCTGTGTCTACTGAGCACAGCGGGTGCTGGATGGAGAGCCTTGGAGCAGAAAGTTCAGTAAATGAGCCCAGGACAGAAGAGCAGGGGCACTGCTGATGTGAGCTCCGCTGGCAGGCCAGACATCCTCGTCTAGCTTCAACCTTCACTTCTTCCCCCGCTGCTCCTGGGGTAGCTAAGTGAGAGGTTTCCCTGGAAAGTCTGTCCTCTGCAAGAGGGGAACTGCAGCCAGAAACCCATTTTTGATGGGCAGCTAAATAGCTCGTTCCTACCTGTAAAATGCTTTGTGTCTAATTACCAGTTGCTAATAGGTCTTTTTGGCACTATTTTCCTTCTTAGCTTGAGGAAAACTTCAGAATTAAGAATCTTGATGGATATTGATGCTACTAATGTTGTTTAATGCTCTTATTGAGTACCAAAAGGTTTTACTGGTAAGATATATGAGACTAAGGCTTGAGTCCTGCTAGCTTATGTGACTCTTCCCAAACTGATCTTTACTTCAATGGGAAGAACAAAAAAAATCCATTTACAAGTTTACAGTTCTCTTGTAGGATGCTGAGTTCAGAAAGCGACATTCCAATTTCTGTTGCTTGCAGTCTTTCAGTAGAAAAATTCCTGCAGTAATAGTTGTATATGAATGCAAATGCTGTGTTTTGTTTTGTTTTGTTTTCCTTCAGAAAAGGCCATCTTTCAAGCAGATCATTTCAATCCTGGAATCTATGTCAAATGACAGCAACCTTCCAGACCAGTGTAACTCATTCCTGCATAACAAGGCGGAGTGGAGGTAAGTTTCCTTCCTCCCAAGAGGAAATGATGTGGTTTTCCCTTGAAATTGTATGAGTCCATATTCTTTTCAGAAGTACATCAGACTCCAATGATGTATTGGTAGAAAATATCTGTGCTTGGGGTATTTTTAGAATATAACTTACCTTGTTTTTTAGGAATGCCTAGAATGTTGTGAAACTTGTATTAGGAGCCAATACACTTAGCTGTACTCTGTATTTATTATTACACTGGTTTAAGTGTCATGATATTTATGGTTTTGTGATTCACATCTTAAAACCAATTACATGTTTTCAGTTAATAGTGTGAGGGCAAGACAACTCAGGTATACATGTGTTTGATGCAATTTTCACAGAAATTGTATAGGTGTATGTTTATGTTTTAAAGAAAAGGGGCATAAAAGCATAAATTTTCAAATCAAGCCTCCATTTGTCTTTACTGGTATGTGTTCTCCCATTTTTTGTGCATTTTCTCTTTTGTACTGATTTTGTGTCCATGTATTCACCATATACCCAGGCCAGCCCTATTTTTGCATAGTGCACCAGCATCGCTTGAGCATATGGTTTTACCTACTGCTGATTGTAATTTTTATTCGTAAGTGATTATAAATGGAGATGAGATTTGAGAAAATTTTGTTACATGGCAGTTTTACAGTAAAAATTTCAGCCTATTTTCCGTATGCGCCAAAACTTAAGAAAACCCGTCCCCGAAGCTTGTTTGAGAGTTAGAAAGCTTGGTGCTTCACGGTACATCCTTCTGTTTGGAAAAGAAAATTGAGAACAGATCTGCACAGGCAGAAGACTGTTATGATCGTGCCTCAGTCTATATTAAGAAGCTCTGGCCCTGCTCCAGGTAAGCTGGGAGCAGAAACATTTACAGATTCCCTGCCTGCAGTCAGCGCAGGAATCGAAGAAACGCGGAGCGCAGGGGCGGGTGGAGGACGGGGAAGAGCACGTGGAAATGAGGCCGGTATCAAACCCAGCGTTCCAGATCTCCTCCGCAGACTTCCAAGGAAAAACAAGACGTATACTTTAAACAGGGCGAGTGGAAAAAGTGAGTCGGCGATGGGACGCTCACGCGGTCACATGGTGGGGGTATAAATAGCCTGTTCCGGGGCCGGGACCGGGACCGAGACCGGGACCGCTCCTG